CGCCGGCTGCTGCCAGATCAGCAGGGACGTGTCCCGGTACCGGAGACTAGGAAAAGAAGCTGCCAGGGCCTTTTCTGCCAGTGGAGGGCGACAGCGAGGACCAAAAACAGGGGGTCCAGAACCAGAACGACTGGGACCTGGCAGACCAGGAGGAGGAAGAAGACTAAGGTCTTCCACTGGTGTTGACTCCTCCACAGCTGGTAGGTCACTGTCTGTCATGGTCGCGTTGATAGTCCCTGAATCAGGCTGGACCAGCTCAGGTCCAGGTCTAGCCCAGCCATGATCGAACGCCTGATGACCACAGCACCTGAAAGGAACACAGTGACTTTTACTAATGACTATAACAATATAATTATATGCAGTATGCAATCTTTCTTGGACTTTTATCAAGTAAAAAAAACATACGTTGAACTATCAATAATTCACTAAAGAAATAACATAATAACATACTGTATTGACTTTTGTGAAAAAAATTACATATACAATGGGGGAAATAAGTATTGAACGCATGAACTTTTTTGTCATTACATTTATTTCCAAAGATGCAATTCATGTGACATTTCTTCCAGACACTGGTATTAACTTAAATAATCCACACATAAAAAGAAATCACAACATTCAAATCCATAAATAGTGATTATGTGGAATTAAGTGCAATAACACAGGAAAAAAGTATTGAACACACCATGGGAAAGCTGTATAGTTTGGCAAGGAAAGGCACCATACCATCTCAAAGCTGAAAGTAATTAGTCTTTGTACTTCCTATAAGTGCAAACCAACATCAGCTGTGTTAATGCTAATTGATGGCCCTATAAACAGGTTGTTTTTTCACCAAGTAGTCAAACAAGACACATCTCATGATGGGTAAAAGCAAGGAGCTCTCTCAAGACCTTCGCAACCTGATTGTTGCTCAGCATCACAATGGAACTGGTTACAGACTTATCTCAAAGCATCTGAGTATTCCAGTAAGCACCGTTGGGGCCATTATCCGCAAGTGGAAGAAGCATCACCTTATCATCAACAGGCCGCGCACAGGAGCTCCTCGCAAGATTTCTGATCAGGGAGTCAGAAAGATGGTCAGAAGAGTTCTCAAAGAGCCAAGGACCACCCGGAAAGCGCTCCAGAAAGACATGGAGGCAGCAGGTACAAGTGTTACAGAGAAAACGATAGGCAATGCACTCCACCGCCATGGCCTCTATGGACGCTCAGCCCGCAAGACTCCATTCCTCAAAAAAAGGCATGTTGAAGCTCGTTTAAAGTTTGCTAAACAGCATCTGGATAAGCCTGTGGAATACTGGGAGAATGTTGTCTGGTCAGACGAGACCAAAATTGAACTTTTTGGCTGTCATACTACACACCATGTTTGGAGGAGAAATGGCACTGCACATCACCCAAATAACACTATACCAACAGTGAAGTTTGGTGGTGGAAACATCATGGCATGGGGTTGTTTCTCATCTCGTGGTACTGGCAGACTTCATATAATTGAAGGAGCAATGAATGGAAACATCTATCGGCAAATTCTTGAGATGAACCTGCTGCCATCCACCAGGATGATGAAGATGAGACATGGCTGGACCTTTCAACAGGACAACGATCCGAAGCACACGGCAAAGTTGACTCTCGAATGGTTTAAAAAAAAGAAAATCAATGTGTTAGAATGGCCCAGTCAATCACCTGACTTAAATCCGATTGAACATTTGTGGAAAGAACTAAAGAAAAGGGTTCACCAGAGGGCACCAAAGAATATTCAAGATTTAAAGACAATCTGTACGGAGGAATGGGCAAAAATCACACCTGAGCAGTGTGGGCGATTAGTTAATACATACAAGAAGCGTCTGGAAGCTGTCATTGCAAACAAAGGCTTCTCCACAAAGTATTAAACGAGTCTCAGATAGTGTGTTCAATACTTTTTTCCTGTGTTATTGCACTTAATTCCACATATTCATTATATATGGACTTGAATGTTGTGATTTCTTTTAATGTGTGGATTATTTGAGTTAATACCAGTGTCTGGAAGAAATGTCACATGAATTGCATCTTTGGAAATAAATGTAATGACAAAAAAGTTAATGCGTTCAATACTTATTTCCCCCATTGTATATATATACTGTATATATATTCATTACGAGGTAGTAAGTGACACTTTCTTTCCTATTCTCCAGGAGGTTCCACTCCAAAGTGTTCCAATCATGTTGGGCGGGCAGAACAATGTTGACGGGGGACAAACACTGAACAAAAATCAACAGCAACAAACCATAAGAGAATTTGGTACTGTGGAAAATCATCAAACATTCTACAATGACACCATTCAGAAAATTTGGGAAGGCAGTCAGAGTTTATTGGAGACGGACTACCTGGACTATAACCACAAAACCGGACTGTTGCGTCAAAGGCTGGGTAACACCAAGGGTATCTTTGAGAACATGGCTCTACCTGACACTTACCTTCATGACTACTTTTCACAGGTACAGCATAGTTGCCTTGTATTTACTAACATTAATCTATTTACTCATCTGTTTACTTATTCTATTTCTCTTAACAGAAAGCAGTTCTTGCAGAGGCAGTGAAGGATGATTTGTTGGATTTTAATTATGAAGGTCAAGGCTCCCCTGCTGGTTCAGTGGGATGCTGCAGCCTCCTGGAGTCTGACAATGACCTACAGTTCTTAAACGATTTGGGGACAAAGTTCAAGATTCTGGCCGACATCTGTTTGCCTCCAACGCCTAAATCAACAACGACATTCAAAGAAGTTCTTCCATCTGAGCCAGTTTTTAAGTCCCAAACTAAGCACACGGTTGACATGAAAAATATGAATACAAGAGTAGAAAATGAGGTAACCACTGTTGACACCCCCAAACTGCCTCCGACGCAACACTCCTCCACGACACTTTCTCAGACTAACGTAACTAACTTCAGTCATTCTGCTAACATTAACCATTCTGCTAATATTAACCATTCCTCTAACGTTCATCACTCTTCTACTTTGCCGTCTATGCCAATCCAGACTGTTGTCCTACAGCAACAGCCCATGTACTATACAACCAACTCTGTCCTACAGCCGGTGCAATATGTGGTGAACCCCCAGCTGCAGTCCACGGTTCTTCTAGCAGATGGGACCCCTGGGTCAAATTACCAGGGTCTGTATGTAGTCAGTGGAGCCCACAGTCCTCCTGGAATTAATCTACCCAAAAAGTCATCCTCTGGTCTACTCTCCAAAGGAGTCGAGAGTCCTCAAAGCCCTGGTAGCCCTACCAATGTAGGCAGCCCTAAGCAGTTAGTACCAGGAGGTCCCAGTGTGGATGGCTGGAAGGTAGTGGGGCCAAATCCAGACGGTAATTATACAATAGTAAAACAGAAGAAAAAGAAGCGTTCAGCCTCTTTTAAGGGTTCTTCACCCAAAGATGCTGTACTGGTCAAAGAGGCCGCTTCCCCTCAGGGGACATTAGTTACAGCGGCCTTGGGAAGTGTGAGTGGCATTCTGCCACGTCACACTGTGGTTCAAGACGGGAATGTTATTACTTTAAATCAAACTGGGCAAACGTGGGTTGGACTGCCGGAGCCAATGGGATTAGGACCAATGACTGCTTTAGGAGTTGGTGTTGAGCAACAAAGTGTGGCTAGTGTTGGGACAGTTGGTGTGAATCAGTTTCATAAAGTTTCTTTAGAAAAAAGAGAAATCAGGGCTGTTGAAAGTACATCTATACCTCATTATCAAGGAACAGGCAAAACAGTCAAGGTTAGAGAACTGAAGATTTAATCTCCAGAGAGTGTCCCATGTGAGAATCAGAAACATCTCAAGGGTTAAAGGTTTGAGAAGCTGATTCATGACAGGAAATTATTAAAAGTACCATTCCAAAGGTATCAAGTGACGGAGCAGGCGTCCATTGATTGATGAGCAACTATGATGCAGATATTGTGTTGTTGATGCTAAATTAGAAGGAGAGTGGTGTTCAGAACGTCACATAGTCATAATGTTAAGTCAATGTTTGGGTACTTAGGTACAACTGTGTGTCATCTGCGTAAAGTTGTATTTGTGTACTGTGGTGGTGGACAAATGATATATTAATACTTGACTTAGATGATTGAGATTGTTATTATTTGATCGAACAAATCAGAAAAACATCTGGTTCAAAATGTGGAGAGAAAATGAAGCTGTTTGATGTAAACTCTCACACGAATCAGGTTTGTCACTGTTTCCTTCCTCTAAGTTGATTAGGATAAGTCAAACCTGACATCACAGGTTGATGGAACTCAGGATTAGATGGATGACAGACACCACTCTGTTTGAATGAAAACTTTGTTGGTCAGGCTCTAAAGCAGTCTGTTTGAATACTTGCTAAACCTACTCTTGGTGTTACCACATAGTAGCTGCAACACTTTGCCTTTACTGCCCCTCAATAACCTCAGGCTTTACTACATTTTCCTAGCAGAAACCAGCAGCTGCATCTTCACCGAGGCAACTGTTTCTACTGAAATTTCTGGCTTTTTTTATTTTATTTTTTTTGCATTAACTTGTTCTGAAAATTGAGTATTGTCAGATTTATGAGGATTCCTTTTTGTGATTGCATGGGGGAGGTGAGGGGTGAGGATATGGGATTATATTACCTATCACATAGTACCAGTGATTACAGTCCCATTACTTGGTTAACGTGAATAAATGTGTCATTGTACATTGATTAAAGTGTGTTGTAAGATTTTTTTATATTGGTTTTCACATTTTGTTCATATTTACCTCCAACATGTGGGCAGAACACCAATTTATTGGCACACATTGGTACAAACTTGGCACTGGATGGAGGTCATTGGTTTACATGTGGCGCTGGAAGGCAAAAAAAAAAAAACTGCAGACGACAACAACACACAGGGTCTACTGTAAGGATTCACCATTGACATGGCAGGAAGCAGGTGGGACCCAAATGCAGTACTGGAGAGACCCTTTCTAGTGCAGGTAGTTTATTTGAAAGTGCAAGGCCAAAACAACAAAAACTCACTTCTTCACAAAACCAGGAACAAGGCATAAACCAGACAAGGAACGAACTACTAAGTACAAACTAAGAACTCGAAGCACACACTAAGCTGAGCACAGGAACAGCTACAATGATCCAGGACAGAGCGAGAGAGAGGTATATATACAAAGGGCACCAGGTGATACGAGTGAGACTAATCACAGAGACACAGGTGAGTGTGATCACACTGATTACCCCACACAACAGATAGACCTGACAGTCTACGTCCAAACAATTGGAGCTTAAATAAATATTCAGTTAATGTGCAACATTTACAAACAACTTTCTGATTTCTTAATGCACATTTATACACTCATCCAGCTCTTGATGTCATTGGAGTTTCAATTTACATTGAAATGAAAATATATTGTTTTATGGCTTTAGTTTTGAACCAACAACTGTCAAAAAATCAACATGTTCTAAATTGTATCGTATTTCTTCTTGAGCCTGCTGTCACATGTGATTGTCACATCTGCCTTGTTATTATTCTTCTGATGCTGCTGCGGTTGAATTCAACTTCAACAGTGTCAGGTTGGTTAATCACTGCCTTATCAGACCCAGTCAGGGAGTTCCGACAGAGACAGATTGGAATACATGAAAATTGATTCACAAAGAGACAGTTCATTGGCCGGTCATAACATCTGAATCTTTACATCTTAAACCAGTCATGGAAACACATCTCCATGAGATCTTTGTTGATAGTGTGGACCAGATGTGTGTCTTAAAGAAGCCTGAATGCTGAGAATGACTGAACCCTTTCGTTCTCATGTCACCAGGCATTTGCTCTGTTTTGCCTCGAGGGCTTTTCTGTGCAGCTGTCATGCCACCACCTACATTTCACTTAATTAAATCACCTTGGCATGAAGAGCAGTGACAAGCTTGCTGTCTCCCAGCCCCATCAATAGAAAGCTGCGCCTTTGATGTGCAGCACCGTTGACGGGAGGCCACCTTCTGTAAATGTGTCTTTTAGTATACCTTAAAGTATACAGAAGAACCCACAGGCAACGGATCACTTCTGAACCTAGGGTGTGATAGGAACCATTGATTAGGCACTCAGCATTTTTCAAAGATGTCAAGGAACCCATAACTACAGCAGTGTTTTGTGGAATTACTTCTAGTAATGGTAAAAAAAAAAATAAAAAAAAAAGTTCATTGGAAATTTGTATAATGAATGATCTTGTAGTTTCAACTTGCTCAAAATTCAGTCAGTTCTGTGTGGAACTTGGGCCTGTTTAGTTGAACAAAACTCTTATACACTAGAAAAACATACTGGATCACTTCATTATTTTTCAGTGTTTTGCTTGTCAAAGTATTAACAGTAATAAAAAATATTTTTCAGACCAATTAGGGTAAACTCAGTGGTTGGAAGATCATTACCTGAAGCAAAGACTTATTATCTATATTTCTTGCCAGTTTAAATTCAATTACATTTTATTTATAGAGCACATTTCATACACAAGGCAAACTCAATGTGCTTTACAGTGGTTTAAACCATTAAAATATCAAGAGAGCAGGAAACCAAGAAAAAGAAAGAAGCGGTAACAGTGGTAAGTGCCGCCTGCCCTTATGAACCCTCGCATCGGCTAAGGAACAACTTCCCATGAAAAAATCCTAGGGTTAAAAAAAATGGAAGAAACCTCAGGGTGTCAGACATAGGAGAGACAGAGGACATTTACTTTCAAATGTTTCTTTGTTTGAGGACCAAGAATGTAGTGGCCAGACACTGGGATTGGTCCATTTAACATCAATAATCTCCAATTATTGTGAATGCAATGGCCACAGATGTTTATGAAGGTTTGGTCCACAGCTGAACCTATCTGAGTTACTCATTTTCCAGATTATTGACACGGACAGTCAGAGAGGGAGGGAAGGAGGGTTTGCAGGGAGGAGGCAATCGTCGGAGTTTGGAGGTTATGTATATATAAACATCAGTGACCGTCTGTCCGTCTCTTGTCCATCAGATCATCATGCTTCGTCCGTTGCATTGTCTACTTCTAGCTTCTGCTGTGCTCCTCTGCAACTCCGCCCCGACGGTCAGTGACTTTTATGAAAAATATATGTAGTGAACAAAAGTGATACAAAATGGTTATATATATATAT